GCGTGGCAATCGCGCCGACAGCTCCGCATCGTCAAAATGCCGGCAACAGTCGTTGGCATTTCTGACAACGCGTTTAGAAATTGCAAGCTGCTCAACAGTGTCACTGCCCCTGGTTGCCGAGAGTTTGGCTACAAAGCCTTTGCGGAGTGCTGTTCTTTGCAATGGGTGTATGCAGCTGAAGGAGTTGCCAACCAGTTTAGTAGTACCACCAAGTTTGGGCATTACCTCTTTCGGGGCTGTATCAACCTTGCTGAATTTACCCTGCGAGAGATTCCCTCCCCAAGCGAGCTGCCATCGCAAACCACTGCCAGCGACTTGGCGCTAGGCTGCCTCAGCTCTACGGGGATAACCACACTCAGACTCACGCAGGATTTCGCAGTCCTAGGAGCACATGCTTGTGACAATTGCCACCTACTCAAGAAAGTTGACCTTTCCAACACACAAATTGAAGAGATTCAAGAATTCACCTTTGTGCACTGCACCAGCCTCAAGGAAGTCAGTCTCCCGCCGACTCTCCACACCATTAGAGTCAAGGCCTTCATGAACTGTGCAGTCCTGCCAGAACTTGCCATACCACCCTCACTAAAATACATAGCGAGTAGGGCCTTCTTGGACTGCAGGAGACTTGTCAAGTTGCCAGGCCGGCGCAAATGGCGTGTGGTCTACGCGGAAGAAAATGCCTTCGCTATATGCCCAGAAATGAGATGGCCGCCCTGGCTGCACATGATCCCGGACACGGGATATGTCTCTGGTCTTGCCTGATGTAATCCTGTCCGGACATTGCAGTTGCTGGCTTTCCTGTAATCCATCTAGTGTCTGGGTGCGAGCCTTAGCTCGGGTCCAGCGCAGGTAAGCGCTCATCCTGGTGCACCTCACAGTCCATACATAGATGCATTCCATAAACTAAGGGAGTGATGGGTAACTGCCGTTTCCGAATCGGGGCCGGTCGAAACTAAACACTCCTGCCCTGCATGTCTAGGGGCTCAAGCTAGTGAATCGCAAGTGCGGAGCATGACAGCTGATGCGCCTGGACCCAGCCCTCGAGGTAGCAAGGGAGGGCCGGTGGCGCAGCCCCTAACACTCATTACACTGGCAGGTGAGGAGCTACCCATAGCAGTAGATCCGAATGCACATGCCTGCCTTCGGGGTTTCGAAAATGCCGTATTAGCAGAGCTCCCCTACTTGGGACGCAATAGCACCCTCGGGTGTGAACTGCAATTTGTGCAAACAGACACCCCCAGGTCCTAGCAGACCCCATACAGAGTAACTGAGGGCCAACCATTGTTACTACGTGATTGCTCAACAATGTCTTGTAGAAGCAGCGCACAAAGGGCAACTCAAAGGGGAAGCCAAGGCTATCCGAGTGCCGCGTGGTAGGAATGATAAAATCCCACCACAAGCCTTTTCCTTTCACACGGAAGTCCGTCATGTCCTAGTCGAGGACGGTATTCGGATTGTAGGGGAAGCTGCGTGGAGGAGTTGTCGACGGCTGCAAGTGGTAGTCTGAGGGGTTTGCTGCCTACTTGCCTTCCTGAGGTTCGTAGTGCCCCCAGACGTCGCTACAGACTGGGTCCCTGGCCGGTCAGGCAGTAGTGGTCCATTAGCTCACTGTGACGCCGGCGTCGTGCAAGGCAAGGTCCTTTTTTTTTGTGCCTTCGACCCTCTGCAGGCCCAGGTGTCCAGTGAGAAAGTCGTAGTCCCTTCGCTTCCTTCCCTGGCCTCCTGGCCGTGGTCGGCAGCTTAGGGTAGGGAACTTCTGTTCTGCCTGTGTTTACTGACCAGGTAGGTGCAGTTCTTCTCCTTCTATGGCTCTTTTGGATGTCTGCTGTCTGGCTCAAAGTACAGTCGGAAGAATTGCCCACCAGTGTGTGCATTCCACTTCTGGAACGGTGGGTCCCGCATCAGGTGTAGTCACGGGGGAAACTTGCATTTGCTACATGCTGTGAATCGGCCGCTGCGCGGGGCCTCTGTCTACCTCGGTTGCTCCTTTTTGCGCTCAGGTACGCTCGGTTGTGAACTAACACCGTTGCCTGGCCTCTGTCAACCTTGGTTGCTTTTCTTTGGCCGGCGCTCGGGCGGTCGTATTTGGAGTTAAAGCGGCCGCTGCGCGGAGCCACTTCTACTCGTTGGTTTGCGTGTGAACAGCCGCTGTAGCATTTGCAGGGGGAGACCGTGTGCAAACCTGTGTAGTCTTTTGTCCCGTGGTCCTGGCTAATCAAAAAGCCAGTGCCTTCCCGCCAGGTTGGGTCTTAAGGCAAGGGGGCGGTACACGGCGACAGTCCAAGTTGCTGTCGTGCTGTGGAGGATCCGCTTTTTCTTTGGAGACGCATTTGGCGAGACGCCTTCTGAAGGTGTACTTCCTTGGAAGAAATACATACCCCACCTGCCTTGCTATACATCAACAAGCGAGCCTTTGCAGGCTGCACACAACTCTGCAAGCTCGTTAGGATGGGCAAGAAAGGAACTTGGAGAGGCACCTATGCAGAACATGATGCGTTCGAGATGTGCGCAAAACTGGCACTCCCGACATGGATTTGGCTCCTCCCCAAGCCCAATGATGACAAAGAAGAGTGGGCGGACTTCATGAGAAGTTGTGCAGAAGCCAATCTCAGTGCTGCCGCACGTCCGTGACGATTATGCTTAAGCGTCGGGGGAATGGGATTCCCAGAGTAGCTTGGCCAATCGGCTCAGTGCTTGCTAGCAGATCAGTAGGGAGCCTTATGTCTGCCACTTCAACTGCCGGCTTTGCCATTGCAACTGAGTAGATAGCCAGCTCCCTTGGCTGCCTCCCAAGAGGTGGTCAGGGTGTGGTACAGTGTACAGTTCTCTTGTACTAGGAATAGCGGCGTTTCACTGTTTCACGTAGTTTATGGGGCTTGCATGCTTACCTGAAACCCGGTGCACTCGTGTGACCAAGGGAAGACGCAGAACCTGCAGTGGCTAGCTTACTGGGCCATGCTTGCTTCAACTGTAGAGTGACATGCACATATGTAGCGGTCGGTGTGTTGTGTCGAGCCACGCCGAGAGGCAGCAGCAGTTCCCGCTTGTCTTTTTGGAATTGCTGCCAACGTGCACGCTCTCATCACCTCCCCCTTCGGGGGGAGGCGGGTGTCTTCGAAGCCGCACCTCCAATTTTTCTCCAAGCCACTGCTTGCCCACTGCAGGTCTCTTGCTACCTTTCAGCATTTTTCAATTTCATATGCTTGACCAACGACCCCACACAGCCATGCCCCTCTCGATCCGGGATAGGGGCAGCGACAACGGTGCTTGGTCAACCGCACAATTTGCAACTTCCTGGAGAGTCTGAATTAGGTGAGTCCCCAATGTCGTGAGGTCGCTTGCCTACCTCAACCTTCTCGTCCTGACACAAATCCAACGTCAGACAAACACTCAAGCTAAGGCAAAGAACAGGCCGGAATTTTGTACAGCAGATCGGAGGATCTTTCGTGACAGAGTAGGCCAACAAGGAGCAAACCAAAGCTAGCATAGGCTGTGTCGTACTCTTGGATAAAAGTTTCGACTTGCCTGGCTCCGAAACTGGCTTGGAAAGTACCTCACACCTGCATCCAGGCCTGCCCACCGACGACCGAGCTGCCGCACAGTGATCGTAGCAATACTCGTTGACCAACCAAACAGGATGTTTGCTATGTGATGGTCCTCCTGTACTGAGTGCAGCCTGAGCTTAGAATTCATGGCCCCGTTTCACCCACGTGGTTGATCTCCGGATCTTCACTTCATTTCACACATCTCGAGTAGATATGAGCCTACTTCGGTTCGGTTTTGTCTGTTGGGGGTTTTGGTTTGTTTGGTTGTTTTGTGGTTTGGGGGTCTGTGGTTTGCCTCATTTGTTCTGGCTCGCATCTTCTCTTCCTATTTTTCGAATTCATCTATGGTGACTTGTGCCTCTCGGCACACATAGCGCCCCTACCCGTGCAAAAAAAAAGAAGTCTCCGCCGCCTCCGCCCACGAGCCAGGGGCATGCCGGTAGAGAAGCAAGATGATCTGTGAGGCACAAATTCCAAGTGTGCATTTGCTCTTGCGAGAGGTTGTTGCGGCGATACGCTGATGTAATGAAGAAGTTGTGAACAGCCACCGAAATCCACTCGCCATAATCGCCGGTGTCAGAAGCGCCTTTGGGAGGTCGTGCCGGACGAGAATGGCCACGCCACCGGTGTAAACATCGTGACTGTGGTGACCGCTTTGATGGAAAAACTGCCCGGAGCCTTGGAGTTTGTTGGCCAATTGAGTGGCTTCCAAAGGAGAGAGCAATGTTTCCTGGAGCAAGATGATGGAGGCTTGAACGGAGGTTGCAAGCTCAAGAAAGTCATTGCCACGGCGGAACCAGAGTCAATGTTGTGCTGAAGGATACGGAGCTGGCCAAACCGAGAAGGTGCAGATCGCCGGTGTGGACCCGGATTAGGTTCGATGCCTTCTCGGCAGAGGTCACGTTTGTGCTGGAGGCGGCGCAGCAATTTGGCAGAGAGCCGAAGGGAGAACGTGGGCCGAGCCAGGACCCTCCGACCCATCGCAGTGGCAGTCGCCCCCATGGTCCAAATCCAAGAGGAACGCGAGGCGGGCAAAAGGGTCTGAGATCGGTCACGTGGGAGAGATGAGCTGCGCAAGCTGTCGCTTCCGCTTGTCTTCCAGGGTGCATTCGGCAGGTTTGGATCAAATGCAACAGCCAGGGAGGCTTCATGCCACACACAATGAAGGTTGTTGTTGGCACGTGTGCCCAGCAAGGGTCTGAAGAAAAGATCGCGTTTGGCCGCCCTCGTGTTTGCCGGTGCTGTGAACGATCGGAGGCACGGATTGAAGTGCTGCTGGACAATGTTCCCTCCAGGTCTGTGTCCGGGGCATCACTTTGCACATGCTCTAGATGTGCCGGTGCTGGAACACTCCTCCCCTTCAAAGCTTCAGTCGAGACACCAAACACAGTGTTTCCTCCCAGCAACAACAGTCGTTACTCCATTTTATTGCTATTGTTGTTGCTGTGCTATTCTATTTTGTTTGCTTGTGCGTTTTCGTGAAATCTCGTTCATGTAGGCAGTGTGAGTTGTTCTCTCAACCACCTATGTTGCTATCACAACTAGAAGGTTCCAGTAGCAACATTTTCAACATTTTTGTATCCTTGTCAGTTCGCAAGACGGACCATTAGCAATGGGCGAAATCAAGAATCTGCTTGCAGTAGCCAGGGGGGGGTCTAATTTTGCCAAAGTTCGTTGATGTTTGATTCGTGTGAACATAATGTTGGCATTGTGTTCTTTTTGCAAGACATGATTGAAATTGCAGTGTTTGCCACCAAAGCTGCAGCTGTGAGAAATCAGTCCGTCCGCAAGTGTCACAGCAGGTCCTGTTCCTGTGAGGCCAGAATTTCAGATAGAGCCGAACAAAGTGAAACAAGAATGCAGATGGCTGGGGATAATGGAAATGTGTTCTTGTGATTTGAAAGCAGTTTGGAAGCTCTGGAGGTTTGGACATGCCGGACGAAGGCAGACCAAAAGACTACATTCCGTTCTTGGAAAATGGTTTGATGCCCAGACAATTTGCAGTTTTTGTTTGTCGCATGATTGGCCAGCCAGTGTTTATGGAATCATTTTTGCATGTTTGTAAACCTTCCATTCTACCTTAGTAGGTTCTTTTTGAAGATAGGCCCATGAAAGTCTTGCCGAAGCGATGCCTTGCTTGTTCAAAGGCACAGGTCCACCCCCTGAGTTTGCCCCTAGCCAGGCCTGGATGTGAATCGTTGATCTTAGTGCAGCGAGCATTATCGAGCATCCAACCCGATATGATTTGCATTTGCCTTTCTTATCAGGTCTATGTGTAATCCGAAGTTTTGTGCTTCTGCCTTCCTCCTTGTAGCATTCACTTGTTACTTGTTCGTATCTTTTTGTTCGTGTTGGACCTTCCGGTTTCTGAGGTGCTCCCTTTGTTGGCAAGTATCTTTGGCTCTCTGAAGTTGACAGCATCCAACCTTTACTAAACGGCCGAACCGTCATTATTTTTTAGTTCTTCTCTCTAAATCTCTCTCTCTCTCTCTCTTTCTCCTTTTGTCATTTTGTATCCTGACTTTGGGGTTATACACCACCAATATATGACGGGCGGGGCGCGTGGTTGAGACCGGCATTTGATGCTGGAAGCTGTGACCTTCAGCCAGGTCAGAAGATGGAGTACTTGGGCATCTGTAAGCATTGTCGCATCAAACTCAGCACAAATTCCCTCAGACGAAGCAGCCGGTCGGACATACATATTGCTCAAGTGTATCTGGTAAGAAGTCACCTCCTGTGGCCAGTTCATTCCAAATGGCGGTGGTCATGCCTTCACTCAGGCGTGTGGTCTAGTGCTTCTCGGTCTGACGAGACAAGCAGTACGGACCAACGTCAATGTCAGCAAGGCGGGCAGCTGGCCTTTGATCACTTTGTGTAGATATCAATTTTGGTTGACAATTCTGGTTCACTCTTTCTTTCTTTCTTTCTTTCTGTCTATTTACCCTATTTCTTCTTTAAACTCCTATTTATTGGGGTAGACCAATGGGGGTGATGGCAACAAGACAGCCAAGTAGTAGGGTCAGGAAGATAGTGAAATTGTAGTTAGAAAGCTAAGGTAGCTAGGATCGTAGAAAACACTTTGCTGTAACAGATGATTTTTTGGCCCTTGACCTTTCTACCTTGTGCAATTGTTGCAGACAACTACGCAAATGCTTGCCAGTGCGTGCCTATCAGAAGAATCTGACACAGTGTGGGGGGACATGGAGGTCCAAGTCTGAAATCTCACAGATGCAAAAGATTGCGCACATGATTCCCTTATTTTGGTCTCTTTGCACGATCTTGACGACCTCCGAAGACCCGTGTGGTTGGATCTCTCTCACCACACAAGTAAGATCCACGATAGGGAGGGTTCTTATGGGTCCCATTCTTGGAAATTCACCCTACCGGCCGGTGTGTACGAAATAGGTTCTGACGACTAGAACACATTGGGTCGCAGTGGTGTCTTCATGCAAAACAATAGCATACGCCGGCATACGCCCTTTGTTTTTGTTTCTTTTCTTTGGACTTTTCATCCTTTCTCCTTTTCATTCCCCACAGGTGGTGGCCCTTTCAGACCAGGGCTATGATTGCCTGGGCAAAGCCGAGGCGGAAAGATGTGTTGAGTGCATAAGGCCTTGGCACCTGGATTTAGGACGTGCCCTGACTATCATCTCAAGTCTCTGACATCACAATGGCACGGTACAAAATGTCTCACCAGCGGAGGGTGGGATTTTTGTTGCCTCATGCTCGCCAGAGCTCAAATATTCATTCAATATCAAGTTGCCGCGAGTCAGGTCCTGGATGACAAGGGCAAGCAATGGTGTTGTTCGAAGGGACTCATCCCATGCGCTTGAGAACCCAGAACATGTGTCATGTGTCAAGTCTCGGCGAAACCTGCCAGTCAAGGGACAATTGCATAGACTTTGGAAGACAACCTGGGAATCTCATGCCTGAGGGAGCAGCCTCCAAGCTTGCTGAAGATAGCCACTCTCTCTTCTCTGAAGCAGCTTGTCTGGAAATTGATCATTCAAATTTTTCATTTTTTCGAAGGTTTAGTTTCCCCACAAACCTAGCCCCCCTGCCCTTAGTCGGGGGGAGCTTCCTTGAAGAAGCTTGAACCCTTCTGTGTGAAAGCCTAAGAAGCTACTTAAGCTACTAGCGACTACCAGCCTACCTCCTCCCCAATGGGCTTTAAAACAAATTAACCAAACAGACAAAACACATGCTTTTCATGGAGACCTAGGACTTGTTTCCTGACTCCAGAGACAGAGACCTATCCGACATGCACAAGAGCAGCAAGGATTTGTGAGCTTGACAAGCTTGCAGGTGAACCGCTGTATAACCATGGCAACAATATCTGATTTCATTGCACGATGCAGACTAGATTGTTGTTGCAGTTTAGTTCCACTTACACTCCTTCAGGATGCTTCTCATGTACTCCACCGATCAGAAGCTCTTCGCACAAAAGGTAAAGAGTTTGCTGTGCAATAAGTTTGCTTTTAGGCCAACTGTAAAGGCAAGGCACTGCCTTGCACGTTGGATGGCTCGCCTTTATGTACTTTCATCCTGCAACCCAACGAAACATACTCAGCTGGAGTCAACTTGCTGGATGTTTTTGCCAGAGCGTCGGTCAAAAGCTCAAGTGTCAGCGTAGTGCCCGTTTTAGGACATGCTGTATGAGTGAATGAAGCCGCTGAATGACTTTGCTTTTATGATGCAGTGTACAAAATGAAGCTGTTAGAAACAGTATCTTGCAAAGCTACTGTGGTTGGAGTTGTGTGCCCAGGATGCCGTCACAGCTCAAAGCGGTAGTGGGGCCTTTGCCCCTTGGTCATCAGCACGAGTTATTCCGACGTGGACAGACATTTTCGATCCTGCTCCGTCGATGGCGTAGAGGCAGACCGCTCTCATCCAAGGTGGGCGACATTGCTGGTTTCAATCGAATGCCTTTTGTGCCTTGGAGCAGCGACGCAACAAAGAGCAAGATCCTATCAAGGTTTCATGGAAAGGGCCTGGAAAGGGGACCTGCAGGATTTCAGACGCAGAAACGGACGAGCGCTGGGGTTTACTTTCTTCCAAACGATTTTATGCTGTTTTGGTTTTGGTTTCCAAATGATTCTGTGTTTTTTGTCGCATCTCTTCTGACCAATCTTGTGACTCGCAGAACCAAGAAAAAGGCAACATAAACGCAGAACAAGCACACACAAACACAAATTAACGTCTGATTTTTCTTCGGGGGGGACGGTGTTTGGGTGAGGTACCTATATATAAAAGTCTATGTTATGTATTGAGACACGACATATCATAAGCATGTACGATTGCAGTTCCTTTGTTCACATCAAGACCACTCATCCGACCGGGCTTTAGTGATGTGACCAGCACCGACCGTGCTTTCATTGTGCACTCTTGTGAAAGATAGCAAGTCCATCCATGTGGACTTTGGTGGCAAGCTCCGCCTGTCGAAGTTCCGCTTTTTGTCGAGGATTCTGCCTACAGCCATGGCCCACTGATTTCCTCTGTGCCTTGACTGTTCAAAGTGAGTTGAAGTGCCTTTTTTTTAACTCAAACAATCCACCATATACTTTCTGTTGTCGCTCAAACCAAAGCGACGATCCGTTGGTGCATGCAGTGGCTTGGTTGTGGAAAGAAGCAAGCGTTTTGGAAGTGACTCCAAGCGCAAAGTGTGAATATTGATGAGAACCTTGGAAGCACACCTCCATGTCTTAGCTAAGGAGTCTGCCTTGGGCACCGGTCCTGTGTTGCATGCTGTTCCTTGATTCTGCAAAGTATGTTCATCGTGAAAGTGGGTCCAATAGTTCTTTGAGTGTTGGCAAAATATGTATCGTGATGTGCTGAACATTGACAATTGACAAGAATGTCTGTGTTCCTGTCGTAACTGAGGATTCTACTTTCAGCACCGGTCCTGTGGTGCATGCTGTTCCTTGATTCTGCAAAGCATAATCATCGTTTAAGTAGGTGCTGGTAGAGGTAGAGTATGTAGTTGCACGGTGTGCACATAGACAATCTTGGAAGGATATGATGTTTTTCTGTCTTAGCTGAGGCTTCTGCCTTCAG